ATTCGCGATTTCGCAGCGTGTCGTATCGATTAATTGTCCAACATAGCGGATTCGCCTTCGTTTCCTTATGCGTTAAATGACAATGCATCGCGTGTCCATGTTTCACATCTCGTTAATTCTTAACTATTAAAAACAGTCAGCAAATTGTCGTCGATGGAACATATTATATGTTCTACGTACGAGAGTGATAAAGGATAAATTTATTATTAAATCTTTGTACAATGAAGAGAGAGATTTTGCATATAATATATATAAAAATAAAACAATCAATTTTGCAATTTTGAAGAAATGATGTAATAATTCTTATAAGTAAATAATCTCAATGTTATTTCCAAAAATAGCAATACTTTTATATCTATTTTTACATCTATATTTAATACTATTATATTTATTTTCAAATTCGGAAAATATAGTCGCAAATACAATAATTAAGTGCTTTTTTCAAAAGTCATCAAATTATAGAAAATATGATAGTGAAAAGATTTGAAGGAGGAAAGACTTAATTTAAAAGATCACTATGATTGTCACCTGATAAATATCTTCATGTACATACGATCGCGAATCGCCACATAGATTCAGAGGGCCATTCAGCTATATAAGATGACATGTAAAATCAAGGTCGACAGTGGCAATAAAAAGAATGGAATCGAGTAATTACAAGGATTAGACTTAAGTCCCGTAAAGTCCGCCACTTGTGGAGCTTGTTCCCCTTTTATCACAGTGCTCGAATGTACCGCGATAATACTATGAAATTTTATACTAAGGCCGAAAATTATATCTTTACAGTAGAGTATACGATTAAAGAAGTTTTACAAAAATTGATGTCAATTAAATGATTGCGTTTCTAAATAAGCTTGCACCTACAATTTTCTCACTTTTGATTAGAGCAGTTTAGGAATTAAAATTGTACAAAGCTCGTATCAATACAGTTATTTTATATTTGCAATGTTTGCAAAAATAAATTTGTCTATTAATATAATGCGATTAATTCTCAATTCTCGTTAAAAAAACTTGACGCATTGATGGAAACAGGTTACATTGCCCGACCGTAGATTGCATTACGCTCGATAAATTTTATGACGATTTTCGACATCGTCAACTATCAATTTCGTCGTCCCTCGTTTCTTCCACTCGTCGATGGCGGCAACTCGACGTGCTACGTGCGCACATATGTAGAACGTCGAAGCTACAGGTGTCAGCGAGAGCAGTATTTTTCAGCGAAACCCGGCGAGGGTGTAGGTGATAGAGCGAGAGAGAGAGAAAAAGGGTAAAGAGCGCGAGATGCCGAGGTGCGAGCGGGAGAGAAACGGAGAGAATGAGAGAGAGAGAGCCATCAAGGAGAGAACGGGAAAAGGAGAGAGGGACGTTTCACCGCGGCAGGAAAACGGCGGAGTGCCGGCACGCACGTTGAATCTGCTAAACGCTCTCGCTCGTGCGTGAAATGCCTCGATATCACTGTTTTATTTCGGCCCGCCCGTTCGTCGCCCGTTCTCTCCCGTTTCTGCAATTCCGTCCTTTTTACTCTCGTTTATCGAGCGAACCGACCAGGCCGACAGGCGGGCGCAACCCTTTCTCTCGTCGCGCTCTCGCGCCCGTTCGTGCAGATTTGATGACCCTCCCGCCACGATCTGACGATGATTCAATTGTCTACGACCAACTGAAATGAAGCACCTGCAAGTTGAGCTTTTTCACCGCGCCGGCCTTTTATTTAGTATTGGACGGCCGACGGTTCAGAATGACCGTTCTATTGATTTAACCCGGCCAGGTACGGGGAATGCAAACGCGAACTTCTGTCTGATTAAAATATCGTAAAATGTCTGCGTTTCATTCAATGTCGTATTTAATCGAGATAAATATTACTACACAATCGAAAAGTTTAGATAAATTAATTAATTTTAATAATATAATAGTAGTAAAGCAAATTACATACATGGAGAAAAAGTATTTAAAACATTCATCGATAAGGATCTCTCTTTCAACTTCATCGTATATGCATAATTAATAAAACACGTAATTTTCCATACGCATATAGTTGATATAAAAATTGGCACACATTCAGAAATTGTTAAAAAATTTGTCGCAGATTTTTGGGGCAATATTGCCGCAATATCGTTTACAGCGTTCGATAAGTCGATAAATCGCAGAGTGGCCTGTTCGGCCAATTTAATTAATAATTATCGACTCGAGGAGTAGCGTCCTGCACAATGGCGATACTTCCTTCTGGCGTAATCCTCCGAAGATTAACGAGCCCGTACCAGAAGGGACCGTTCTCCACCGTCTCCTGCCGCCCCGAATTCTCTCTTCTCGCCGCCTCTCATGCGCTATATCGTCCTCTCTTATAGCCGCAAGACGCCATGGCGCGCCTTGCGGTGGTTGCGGCAAGAACCCTCGCCGTACCCGCATTAACGCAATTATGAATTTGTCGCGTTGGGATCTGACAATACAAGATGTCGCAGCCATTCTCCTGCCGCACCTTCCCACCCAGCCGAAGCCACCGAACCCAGCTTGAGACCCTTAGCCCGGCTTTCCTCGTTTATACTAAAACCGATTTCGTGGACTATATGGATCGAGACGACGTGACATAAATGTAATTTACTAGGCCACGTGGGCGATCGCACGGCGATATGAAGAACGCCAGTTATTATTGCAAAATTCCCATCGACAGATATCATCGCAATTGATTTATCTCAAATTATTAAGTAAAGAGCAAATAGTTACTAACAAAATAATTAACGACGTCTCAATAAATAAAAAATGAGACTTTTAAAGAATCATATTCGCAAAGATAGATTACAATCAACATTGTATTAAAACTAAAACGAAAGCATCACGTGAGATGACATGATTCACGTACAATAGGTAACGTGCATTGTCGTTCTAACTCGAAACCACAAAATGACATTAGGTGTCGTATCTCGTGGAGCCGCGAATCCTGCTCTTTGCCATTTATCGCGCATCCACGCCGAACGTCCAAGAAATATTCACCGGCGCTTCACCCTGTCGTTTCTCCCTCGCGAATCAATATCCAATGTATTTCGTGTGCCCGCCTTGTTATCCGTGCCGTTCGTTTTGCGGCGCGGGAAGCGAGTGTAGTTTCGCCGGCCCTAAGTTAGTTTCGAACGGTCCCATGGAGCAATAGCAGTAGCAGCGACAAGCCTTCTCTCTCTCTCTCTTTTCTCCTTGTCTCTCTTTCATTCTCTCCGTATCGTGCGGTAGCGTGCAATGGGTGGGAGAACGAGAGGATCGTTGCGGCTCGCCGCAGGCGACTGCTGCGACCTGCTCTCCTCAGCGACAAATTCCTCCTCCCGGCTCGACCGCTTCGGCCCGTCTCTCCTCGCTCTTGCGCGCCTCCTCGTTTCATCCCGCCCGATGCTGCCATCCGAGAGAGTTGCGCGTTTCCCGATTTCTCCGCTTATCCTCCTTGAACTTGCACAACGCGCAAGAAAATCAATCGGCGTGGTCCGGCAAGGCGCGAGGATTCTCGAGGCCTTTCTCGCAGTTTGGACTCGAGAAAGGACAGACGAGAGGCAGGGCGATTCTAAACATCAAGGAGGTAAAGACTGCCTAGTCAGCCCTCAATATCCGTGAGAGCCGGAGAGATCCGCGCAAACAACCCTATAACCTCCGATTAAGCGACGGCCGGCCAGGCGATGTCCGACCCGCTTTGCTGGCCCCATTATCGCTAACTAATAAAGGGTTTAATTGAAACGCCGGGCTTTTGTTTCAAGCACTTGAGAACTGTTCGCCTTTCCGAAAGCGCTCGGGAGTTTGACCGGTTCTAGAGACTCCAACGCAGATCGGAATTTATTAGTAAACTATGAATTTGCGAAAAAAGATCGGTAATATTTTGACTGGAAGCTAAGATCTATTATAATTCGAAAACGTATTCGGTATAATATAATATTACTTACAAAGATAAAATCGATTATCGAGGTAACTGAAGTTAAGAAATTTTAATTCGTAGATTTTTTACTATTTGACTAAACAAAAATAAAACGCGACAAATCGAGTCATGATTCATAAATAAAAGCGATATCGAGATCGCTTATAATCGTGACGTGGATATAGCCGACTTCGTGCTCGTCCACAACTATTTTCTATGAAGGGGAAAGAAGAAAGTTTGATCGCAGTAAGTGCCGCTATCACGAGAGATCACTTTCGACGCGATTTTTGCTCTGGATGAAAGCTCCGATCATTGTCGTGATGTCATGTTCCTAAATTCCACGCATGTCGTGTTTGCTAGAAGCAGGACATTATTCTTAGGAAACGTAATCATGTTAGTTTCCCAAGTCGTTAGATTATTTATGCCATCTGCTATCGAGGGACTCTATACACGGTAAAAATGCTTTGTGCCGCGGCTTCCTTCAATCATTGTTCTTACTGTCGTAATAGAACTCATGAAAATCGTAAAACATAAAAACTGTCAAAGAATAATCATTTATTGATGAAGCATAGATAATTCTAGGCATTCCGGAACTTTGATTTTAATGAAAAATATTAAATGTCAAGGAAATAAATTTGATATAGAAATTTTTAACTTGTAAACTACTGAAGAAAAGATCAAACAATTTTAGCAAACTGATAAGTAAAGAATATATAAGAACCCTTCCTTCGAGCAGATTTAATAAAAATTTAATTAGACATTAAGTTGTTGAGATAATTTAATTCGAAATTATAAAGTCGTAATAAAGAGAGAATTTTATTATTATATAATATGCATAAATCAAAGTTCTTATCAAAGCTTGAGCATAATTAATGTTTCCTCAATACAAGGATATATTCTCTGTAAAGTGAAAAATAGGCCATTAGGATATTAAGCAATAAAATTGCATGTGCACCGAAAGTTTCTCGAGAGCGACGAGGAAACGACGGGGACTATTGTGACGTAAACCGAAAGTTGCGCGCGATAAATCACTCTTCGTTTAGTTGAAAAAATACGAGAGAGAAAAGAAAAAGAGAGAAGGGTTGCGTGCTGCAAAAATAGTAAGATAAAAACTTACCTTGCTGGCGTGCGGTTGGACTGACTGTTCGTGAGAGAGTCTGCTGCAAATCGGCCGAAAAGGCAGCCTGCCGTGTTTTGCTCAGGTATAACTGCAAAAAAGAAATGAATTACGTGAAATTATTCCTTCGACGTCAATTCTAATTTATAAGCGAAGCATACTTTTAATTACATGTACTACATTAAGAATGAATTTAAGTAATGTGAGAAGACAGATGTGTCGTGACTAAATCAAATCGTGCACTATTTTAAATTATAAGACGAGCGAATAATTCACTTGTAAGTAGCAAACAATAACGTTTATTTTAATCATTTATTTTAATAGCTATCATGAAAAAGAACTTTATAAGCATAATATTACTTATACGTATTATGAGAGAAATACAACTGATGAAAATATATAAATTTAGCCTATTGATGTTTAATTCAATATACAATAAATCAAATCGTAGAATAAAAACAAGAAAATGGAATAAAAATTCCATTTTCCATGGTATTTAATTCGAATTTTATTCATCTATTTAATAAAAATATTCCAAATAATGTTACATTCATAAAAATCTCCATTTATACTTATTATATTCAATCTGTAATTAATGAAGTAACAGTAGTTGTCTCCATTTAACGAGTTAATCATAATAGGAGAAATTCCCAGTCGCTTGTTCGTTTCATTCGTGTATAAGGAAGACTCCGGAATCGCAACTGGGATCGAAGAGATTTGGCATCCCGATCACGCACTAAGGGCAAGCCATCCCCTTTAATATTAGGACCAAATCGGACCGACTCGCTCCGGTATAAAATAAAGGGCTGACATGCGAGCACGGCGGGAGAGCCGAGGCAAGCCAAGCCGAGGGAGAAGCCGAAGCGGGAAGGGAGTTTCGCGCGCGCGAGAGAGTAACGGAGAAAGGCGTGGAAGACAGGCATGGAAGGGTGGCTTCACCACCGCGGTGAGGGATGACTGAGCGAGTCGGTTAAACGGGCGTCTTCTTTCATAAATTTGGAGGGCGCCCTCGGATAAAGGTTTAGAATAAATCGTTCGGCCTGTTATCCACTCCGACGTCGGCGGATAACGGCAGACGAGAGCGACCCCGGATGGCTCAACAATTCCTCCTCAGCCTTCCCGCATGATCACACGTTGTACCGCTTTGAGATGCGTTTTCCACCCATCGCACATGAAACTCCAAGTTTCATTAATACGTCATCATACATTCTATGCCGAAATATGCGTAAAATATTCATCGAAATGAGAATAAATAATGAAAAGCCCCTTAAAGTCTACAAAGAGATTTGTATACACTATCTTTTAGTTCTACACATCTTGAATTTAAAATTGAATCTCTTAAGAAGGAAAATTCAATTTTTTCATTAATGTGTTATCGATATTTACTTGATATAAAATTACGAGAGAAATACTTATAATAATTAAGGAATAATTTAACACAGAAATGTTGCATGTAATCTGCACGGTAACTTACTACGCGCAAAGCTGACTATCTAAAATGGCGAGCGCAATATGAAAGTTCAGGCAAGGGTAGCTAGAATGCTCATAAATATATCCTCGAAGATCGCACAAATCGCTCGTTCAAGGCCAATCCCCTTCGACGTTCCCTGCAAGAGATACGAGAGGGAACCTTTCTTCTTCGACTCGCGTAGAAATACGCACGGCGATATGGCAAGTATATGCGAATTACATGCACGCACGCATGTGACGTACACGAACGCGCGGTCCGAACGTATCAGGCTAAAAAAAAGGAAGATGACGGAGAAGGAGAGAGAGAGAAAGAGAAAAGAAATGAAAGTAGAAAGGCGAGAACCTTTCAAGAGGGAGAGAGAGACGAAGAGGCTAAACCAAGCAGAAAGCCAGTCCAATTTCTCAAACCTGTCCAATCTGTGTCGTATGCAAAATCAATCACGCTCTACCCTGCCATACCACTCTCTCGGGCAGCCCTCAGGGCCCCACAATTTTCAAATCTACCCGTAGCCACGCGGTAATCTAGCTCCTGAGGCAAAACTTCTCGCCGATCTAAGACAGAGTTCTGCTATCGAAGCATCTTTTCTCGATCTATGTCATCTTTCAGACGATATCTAATACATGTGCCATGTGTGAATAAATGCAGATTAATATTTAGTTATATTTATTTATATATCAATCATATCAATCGACGATGTAAATAAATAAACCTAACATTTGAAAAATCAAACTTGTGTTTTTTTTTTCGCATAACGCACAAGACTATTTTATAATTCCTAAGAACATTTTCCTGTTTTTTTAATTTCTAAAAAAAAATTTGTCGATAGAATGGATGGCTAATTAACATCTAAGAATAGTGTCACAAACATCTCAGAATAAATAATAATATATAATGATCGATTAGAAGTAATATATATAAATTTTAATAATAATACATATATTATGAACATCACAGCAGCAAAAAATATGTACATATATCAACGAAAGAATAACAACCTTTGAAGCTGCATCGAGATGCACTGGTAATTTTGTCAACGATATAAAGTTTATATTGAGCCTTTGAATCATGGTAATAATATCGTCGCGGGTGTATGCTCAAAAGGCAGGCCGCGACGTGGAGAAAGACATTTTAAAAAGTAAAATTCAGAAAGTCATTAGGAACTATCGGACGTTTGTTTCGCCGTCCCCCGTCCATTGATATGCATTACTTTCGATCGACAGCCGCGATCATTAAAGGGGTCTAAGGGCGCTCTGTAAGGGTTTCAAGGCCGGGTGACCGCCTCGAAAAAGTAATTTGTCCTTTGGGGGCGCGAACTTCAAAGTGCACGCGGGACGAATGTCCCGCGTGCGGGCTTGCTACAACAAGCATCATTCTACTTGCGCCCCTTTCTACTTGGCGCCACTGATCAGACTTGCTGATTTTTGCCGTCGCAACGTCGGCGTGGACCTTGTCCATCGACGACCGTCAAGGGCCCCGGCTGTCGAAGCTCTCAGCCTCGAAAAGACGGAGAGAAGCGGGAGCGCGCCACGAGGGGTGCGAAGAGTTTAGCATACGCATTTTGTACATTGAAATCTCGACACGTTCGTCCAACTTTAAATTGAAACTCGCCCGACGCGCGTCGTCTCCCCGCCGTCGATAGTCGTCCCCATCGTCTCGCAGAATGTCGTCACATCAACAATGAAGGAGATTATAGTTAAAAATCGAAAAAATATTAAAAAGTATGAAAAAAATCTAGTAAATCCTATTCTTTCAAAAAATTATTTAATCAAATTTAGGATTAATTGTACAATTAAAATGTTATAAATTAAAATTTACTTTATTACTTATTTTTCTATTAGAAAATAAAACAAAATATATGAGAAAAATTCAGAATATCAAAGCAATTTGTAATATTTCGACTTACACAGATGTATCTGATTTTTACATTATCGGAATCTTCTTTTTATCTTACAGTAAAATGTTAATTTAAAAAATCAATTATAAAATTATAACGAAGAAGAAATAAAATAGAAACTGTGACTTAATGATGCATGGAAGATGGGATTAAAGAAAAAAATAATAAGGAAAAACGTTGTAGAAAAACAAGAGAGATATCATATTGATGATGTAATATTAAGTAAAGTAGTAAAATAATAATTTCTGTAAAATAATTATGATTTGTTTATGTAAATTAAAAAGATCCGGAAGCTATAATATCGAGACATCACAAAATTATGGCTTGTACTTTCCATACGATGTAAAGTAAATCATAAAGATAGACACAATTCCTTAAATTGTGAAAATCGACATAATAATATGAAAAAAATCGCCTTCCTCTCAACTAGTTTCCAAATCTTGTCGCGTGACATTAAAAAGGAACGATAGTGAGAGATTGGGCATTTTTAATTAAATAATACTAATCACAGAAGGTAACCCTCCTACGCAGGCAAATCTCATCTCGTTCTTTCCCTGGACCATCCCTCCTCGTGCAACCTCCTTCTGTCTTTCTTTCACTCCATCTTGTGCGAAGCTCCTTTCTCTCTTTTAGTCTCGCGAATCGTCTCTCTTTTAGACTTCGAATTGTAATTAACATTTGGTTCTCCCATTAGTGTAATTAAAGTGCCATTCCATAATCTAGGAGGCCGAGAGAAGAGAAGAGGGGCACCTTATCTTTCAGACTTCAGCCTCGGCTGCGGGGGTCGTTTTAACCCCCGCTGGGCGCCTCCAGCCCCTTTCCGGGTCTACGCCAACCGTTGGTTGCTGGTAGGTTCCTTCGGTGATAACTCCTTTCCGCGAGAAGATTCTCCCCGTTGGAGAAGAGAAAGGAAATCGCGGCAGGGGAAAAGAAAAACGGTGATTAAAACGTTTGAAAATCCGATATCGTATCTTCGTGTGCCGAGTCGTCCATTCAGAATCGTGCGTACACAAACTGATTTCGCGATTTCCGTTCCCTTAAAGAAGAAAGCTCGATAATATGATATATAAGATTTTAAAGCAGATAGCTATTCATATATTTAAGCGAGCAATATACATATAATCTGCATATATCTATTTTTTAATAAATAATACTTTTAGGAAAGCTCTCTCTTTGCGAAATTATTGTAATAGATATATAAAAATGCTTAATATTTTCCACATATATAACGTAACTAGAAAAATATCACCGAAAAGAACAATGAAGATGCGCAAACGTAACAGATTTTACAAAGATAATCAACGGAAGGTGTCATTTCCAGATTGGATTCGCCAAGCTGCACGAAGTCAGACAAAACAATAGAGATGAAAGATAAGAGGGAAAAGGCGTCGGTAAAAGAAAAGCAAGCAGATAAGAAAAGAACTGCCTACGTTGACATTTTCCGGTGGTTGAGTTAATAATACGCGCGGTACACAAGGCGCGTCGAGCGGGGGTGGATCCACAAAGTGCCATCATAAAGAGGCGCGGATGTGTTTATTCGGGAATTTGCCTTTTTCCACCGTTTCCCCCGCTCGACCCGGATGCCATGAGATTTTTATCTTATTTTTCGACGACGATACCGCCTGGGGATTTATATACTTTTAGCTCTGGATTGAAAAGGAGGGTGTGCGAGCGACAGAAGAAAACAAGGGATGGCGAGAGAGAAAGAGAGAGAGAGAGAGAGAGA